ATTCGGAATCTCCTGTAACTCTTCTGGCCGGTCTACTTGTTTAATTTGGTGAATGCTGCAATAATACTTGCCTTCAATTCATTTTTGGTGTTACAAGGTGTTTGTTAATCTCTGGCTCAAGTGCACCCCACGCATAATAATCAGGAGTGTTGCAGTTTGGGGAATTAGGTGTCCAGATGTAAGGAGAAATGTGGTCACGAAAATTGTCTGATAGCCATGACTGGGTTCTCCAGCTTGTGTGACATGGTGCAGAGTCCTGTTGCCCGAATTAGGGTCTTTCAGCTGCTCCCGCCCACTCTGATCAATGGCAACACTATCCCCTAAGGCACTTGATGTAGGCCTTTGTGTTGAGTCTGAGTCCCTATGGGAAGATGAATGTAGGCATAACATCGACATCACTAGGGATCACAACAAACACCTTCGTAATCACCATTAGACTCATCCAACTCTTTACGAATCCTTTGCACTGTCCTCAGTTCTCCACAAAAATTGTTCTACGGTAAAATAAACACGTGCAATATAGGTTTGGTTCATGAATTTGGTGTCAAATTCTCTAAGCCCTCTTTCCTCGTCATGCACCGTAGAAATTTCAAGTGTCTCTTACTCATGGTAAATATAAGTGTCCTTTTTGTTCACATTTTCTCTTAAATTTTGTCATTACTCACATGATCAAAATCCTTCTCTCGAACTATATTCTTGTTGCTTCAAGTCTTTTTCATGTGTAAGGAGGTCATCCAGCATTTACTGCCACATAGGACGTCTACATACTTATTTAATATTGTTTTCTTCCTTTCTAACGAAATCTTCTTGATTTTTTTTCCTCCTGTTCCTTTTGCCGACAACACTATATTTTGCAGTTGATGTTTACTTCTTTCTTCTCGCTTTCCCTCCTTCTGTAAGAGCTACTGTAGTTTCTTTTCTGTGTCTGTTACCAACATTGGGTCATCTGCATGTAGTAAAGATTGTAGCCGCCAATAATGAATTCTGGTAGGACTTCTCATTCTCTCAGAATCGTCTAACATTATAAGGTGGAATAAGTCCGAAACCAAATGAAAAAAATGCAAACAAGAAATAAAAAGAAAATTGTTTGCAAGAATGAACTTTAGTAATCAAAATATAGATCGATGCGCACACCCTCTCTAGTTGGCTCTCTTTTTGAAAGGTGTGCGGGGAGACCATTTCACTAGTCATAGAGATATTATGCAGATATTTTACGGGTTATCTGCGTGGAAAACGAAATTGGCAAGACGGTGGAGTAATGGATAGCGGCTCGGATTGAGAAATCGGAGAGCCAAGTTCGAATTCCAGTTAGATCCATTACATTCACTTATCTGCTAATACCCTCGGAAAAGGTCTGAATCCTCTTCTGTTCCCTCCAGCTATGGAAAAACTGCAAGTGCGGGTTCTGAAGCCTTGGATGGCAACTGGTCTACCGCAGAAAGAGACGGCAACCTACTGCGGGAAAAAAATCTGCCTCGTCAGTCAAGTATCGAAAGATACATGATCGTCTAAGCGTGTATCATGCATGGAACATAACTAATTGACTGTTGCTTTCTCCTAAGTACGATCGTTTTTTTATGAAATTAACAGGGTAGACTGAGCTCTTTAGCGTTGCATGCCACCCAGAGAAGGATTAGTCTTAATTCGAAACCTGAAGGAAGCCAACAGAAATCCACTCTATTGTTCTTCACAAGAAGTGATAGTATCAGGTTGAACGGATATTCACTCGGGGAGACCCCGTACCTTGAGAGGATATTAGGCCTCAAAACTCACCCCTGACCTCAAGTAGAATGCCTATGTACGATCCATGCAGGTAAAATGAACGGTTCCCTCTATCGGTCCAGCAAGTACCTGACTCCTCATGCTATCCTCTACACTTATAAGATCCAGATCAGGCCGAAAATGTAACACCATGCCATATTTGGGCAGGAGCTGTCCAGACCTCACTTTCCTCTCCGAGTCTTTGTTGGAGAATAATTATTCTCCATTCTCTAACCTCTCTCTCTCTCACAGGCGGGATGCGGTGAATCTTTGACTGCTTTACCGCCACTACCAAGGAAAGTGCTCATTCCTAGGTTCTGCCAGTTCTAATCTTCACAGCTGGGACCCGCTATGCAACATAGATAGCAGCAAACCACTCACATTCCCTCCGTATTTCATCGGCGAGAAGTAAGTTCCACTCAAACAGATTCTTCCCGCAAAACCCTGCCCTATGGAACAGACTCCCAAGAGGTTGCTTCCCTGACCACTAAAACCTGTTCAATCTAGCGTTAATCCTTTTTTTCCCTTCCTATCCCTATAAACTACCCCTAACGTAACCCTCTACCTCGAATGCCCCCCAGGCCTTGTACAGAGTGAACCTTACTGTAAAAAAAATGTGGAGAGCCTTGATTGACTACGTTCTAAGGGGGACATGGCATTAATAGTAGTAGTAGCAATAATAATAATAATAATAATAATAAACGTGTACATACGGGTATATAATTCGATATCGACGTTTGCAGATATCCACGAAATTATAAGAATATATTCATAATTTTATTACTGTATACACACTCAAACCCAAGTGTCTTTCCATGTCTCATCTTGTTTATACAATGCCAATTTATCCACACAGTCGAAAGCGCGTGTGTAATACACAAGGTCGCGTATACACGAACTGCCAGTTGCGACGAACGTTAGGTTTTTTTGTTTCACAGTTTTTAACTGCTTCAGAACAACACAATTCTTCCATCAGAGAAAAAGGGGGTGGCTGCAGAAAAAATGAAAAAGAAAAAGAAAGAAAAGAAACGATGACAAACGATAGGCTTAGACGACATCTTCTCAACAGGAATTGGTTCGCTTTTCTTTCACGATCTTTCTTTTATTTTTCATCTTCTTTTCTTTCTTTCTCGTATTTCACTTTGTTTTTTATCCTTCAATTTGCTTTTGCTTTCTTTCTTTTTCTTTCTTACAGATATTTAGTCTTTCTTTCTTTCTTTCTTGCTTTCTTTCTTGCTTTCTTTCTTTCATTTATTGTTTTTTTTCCTTCATCTTGCTTTTGCTTTATTTCTTCCTTTCTTTTTCTTTCCTACAAATATTTCACTTTTCTTTCTTTCATTTATATTTAAAATTCATATTTATTCTATTTCTTTCTTTCTGTCTTTCTTTCTTTCTTATCCATATTTCTTTCATTTATATTTACAATATTAATTTATTCTCCTTCTTTCTTTTTTCTTTCTTTCTTTCTTTTTTGCATTTTGTTTTTCTTTTGTCATCTTACGCTTTCTTTTTTTTTCTAGTAATTCAATTTACTTTCCTTTTTTTTCTGGTATTTTGTTTTTATTTCTATTTTCTTTTTTATATCAGCTTTTCTTTCTTTCTTTTTTTCTTTCTTTCTTTCTTTCTTTTTTTCTTTCTTTCTTTTTTTCTTTCTTTCTTTCTTTCTAATTTCTACTTGTTTTTCTTATTTTCTCCTTTTCTTATTTAACCTTATATTTACATTCACCGTTCCCTTTCTTTTTCTTTTTTCTTTTCTTCTTTTTTATTTCCCTCTTTTTCTTTATCTATCACAATCTGTTCATAGCTATCTATCGCAGTTCTCCATAGACACATCTAGATATACTGAAAAGTACTGAGTTCGATTCTCACTGTCTTCTTTCTGTGTTTTTCTTTTAGACTAATCAAAATTTAATATCTATTTTCACCGTTTTTTTCTCTTGAAAAACAGAAAAGGTTTTCTCTCGTGTAGTCATTCTGTACATTTTAATAAAAGCAGGATGAAGGAAAATTCTGTTGGCACCAAATATAAGATGGTTAAAGGGGTGGCTCTGTCATTGAAATGGTAGTGATTTTTCTCCCACTGCTAGTTGGCTAGATTCGAATCTAGGAACAATCCAGCATTTACAATGCCGTTTTTCACTACTTGCTCTCTCGCTATCACCCTCCTCATGAATAATCATTACATTTTTATGCTTGTAAAATATTCAGTACCCGTGTAGTATAATGCCTTTCAGTTTCATCTTTACCATATTTGTCTAGTGGCATCTTACGAGGCTAAACTGTAGCAGTTTTCCATTAGTGGAAGGCGACATCAATCGCGCCTAATTTAAAAGAGGGATCACGTACTTTTTTTAAAAAACAAAAAAACAAACAAAAAACTAGCAGACGTTGCTCCAACTTGTCTCCGCATTATACCGTCTTTCTGTCGAGTTAGTAGAATTGAGTACTTGTAAAATCTGAAGTAGGATACCGACTCTCTTATATTTTTTTTTTACATCTGTGAGCGTTTCTTTTTTTTTTTTCGTTCTCAAATTTTAAATTCTTTTCCTAATTATTGTTACAACGACGATTCTTATTCGTCGCTTTTCTTTCCCGCGTAAATTAAACCCCAAGATTTACCGTCACCACCCAGCGTGGATTTTTCACTTAAATCAGCTAAGTTAAGAAAGAAAACACATAAACCCGCTTGAAATCTTTGATAAAAATACAAGAATCATACCGAGAAACTTCTATTTTTTATTCATTTGAAGAATTAACAATGTCTCCAAGAGAAGAGAGAAATGGAAAAGAAAGCAAGTCAGTGAAGACGGAAAATGAGAATTAAAAAAAAAAAAAAAAAAAACTGAAAGAAAAAAAAAATAAATGAAGGAAGAACAAATGAAAAAGAAAAAATTGAAAGGTCTTAAGAAAATCGGGTTGGGAATAAAAATAGAAATAAAGAAAAAAACTGAAAGAAAAATAACAACTCTGAGGAAAGAATGATACAAAGGAAAATAAGGAGGAAGGTAAAAGAAAAAAGAATGAAGAAAAATAAAAGAAATTCAGAAGAAAGATGGAACGAAAGAAAAGGGAAAGAGAAATTTCATAATAAGTATATTTATGCTTTTAATATGCTAAGAAACATGTAACTAAAAGAAAAGAGCCTGTACGAGAATGAATGAGAATGTGAGAGAGGGTGGGAGAAAGAGAAAGGGAGAAACAGTGTGAGAGAAGGAAAGGAAGAGAGAGAAGAGAACGAATCAGAATGGGAGAGAGAGAGAGAGAGAAAGGGAGAAGAGAGATAGAAGTGCCATTGAGAAGGGAAAGGTGTCTTTGCGTGTGTAAGAGAGAAAGAGAGAGAGAGAAGAAAGAGATATTTGAAGGGCACGTGGATTAGAGAAGAAGGCTAGAGAGATGAAGTAAAAACAGTCAATGATGGAAGAAGGAGAAGAAGAAGAAGAAGAAGAAGAAGAAGAAGAAGAAGAAGAAGAATGGAGAAGAGGAGAGAAATTAAGTTTAGGAAAGACTGAGAGTAGAAGGTAAATGCTAAATAAAAAGTAGGGACAACAATGAATAGGCAGTGATGATATAGGTAGTGATATATATATATATATATATATATATATATATATATATATATATATATATATATATATTCAGTTGTATGGCTATTGTTTTAACCCTGGTTTTTTTTTATATCATCAGACAAACTGGTTTATTTTTTTTTTAAAGGAGGTGGGGGCAGTTTTCTTCTGCGTCTGTTTGGGAGAAGAAAATTCCTCCCCATTACTATACACAAATAATCAAACACAAATAAGCATAAATAGATCCACTCTTAAAAAAACACACAAAAAACGGTTTGTCTGATGATCGCAAAGGCGTGAAACCCAGGTTCACAAACTCATATCCATAGAACTGAATATGTTGGCTCTATCACTGATATCGAGCACTTTCCACTAAGTTACGCGCATATATATATATATATATATATATATATATATATATATATAGAGAGAGAGAGAGAGAGAGAGAGAGACAGACAGACAGACAGACAGAAACAGAGAGAGAGGCAGAAACACAGAGACAAAGAGAAGGAAAAAGAGAGAAAGTGAGTCAGAGAGAGAGAGACAGAGACAGAGAGAAAGAGAGAGAGAGAAGCAGAAACACAGAGACAAAGAGTAGGAAAAAGAGAGAAAGTAAGTCAGAGAGAGAGGCAGAGAGAGAGGGAGAGAGAGACAGAGACAGAGATTGATGAAGATAAAAAACTGAAAAGATATATAATGAAATAAAACCAGAGAATGAAGTGAACAATAACAAAAATTCTAGTGAAAAAGAAAAGACAGAGTTAAGTGTTTAACATCGGGTTGGAATTTGATTTTTTTTTCTTTATGAGGTGGTCATGAATTTCAGAAGGTAGGAGGGAGGATTAAGTTGGTGGGGGATTTAATATTAGGAGGTAAGTGAATAAACGGGGGTAGGCTAGAGACGATAACTGTTTTGACCAACGCCGGGGATGTTTATTGTCAACACTCTCTTTTTGGCTTTCTGTCTGTCTGTCTGTCTCACTCTCTCTCCCTCTTTAAGCGCCATTCATTATACCAGCCAGTTGCCGCAGTTTGGAGAAGGACGCACTCAAGACACCAGCGACAACAGCAGTAGCAGCAAGAGCGATCATTTCGTCGTCGTCGTCGTCGTTATCGTCATCATCATCATCAACAAGAACAACAACAATAACATCGGCAACGCTAGTCGCTTTTCGTTCTCTCCTCTCCGCTTTTTGTATTGCAATTTCTTCTTGAAAAAAAAAAAAATTATCGAACATAGAATGCGATAAATAGTACAATTTATAAGCAAGCACTTATTTATTTCAAAATACCCCGAAGAAAAGAAAGAACAAATGAAACAAAATAAGAACCGCATTGCTAACAAGGGAGATAACTCCAGTTTTAAGCAGCCCTCAAATAATATAACAGAGAAAGTGAAAGAAGGCAAGTTTAACAATGTAAACACGGTAAAAAAAATATCATTGTCAAGGAATTTGAATGAAAGAAAAATAATAAGGTTTTGAAGAAAAATCTATACTGAAAAGAGTATTTTTTTTTAAAAAGTTCGGTCACAGCACGAAAACAACTGTAAATTTTAAGAAGAGCAAGTCACAAATAAGTAAAAAGAGTAAGCAGGGAGAAAGAGAGAGAAACAAATAAAAGTAGCAGATTCACTATTAGTCAAAAGTGTGCGTATATTTGCCAAAGATTGTCAAATTGAACATGTAGGAAAAAAAGACAAAAAAACAAAAAACACGAACAGATAATTGCTGATACTAGTTAGAATAGTGAAGTCATTTCTGCATTATTTAAAAAGAACGCATTTCGGCATTTAAATCAGAAAGCACATGCGACAGAAGGAGAGCGAGAGAGAAAGTGAGTGAGATAGACAGAGATAGATAAGATTAGACACGCAAGTAAGTGTACAAATTAATAAGAACAAAAACAACAAAAAAACTGTTTATATATATATATATATATATATGAGTGTGTGTATAAGGTGAATAATAGTAAAACTATTGGTCTATATTCTTCAGTAGTAAGCAAGTTTGATGGTCGTTGTCGCAGTTTTATTTCCGTTCCATTATTCTCTTTGGTAATACTGATTCTCCTTTTCTCTCTTTATTCTACTCTGTCTCTCTTTTTCTCTTCGACTCTAGGCTACAACTCAACTCCTCTCTTTCGCTTTCTCTCTCTTAACTTTTAAGTAACCATCTTCCTTTCGTTTCATGTCTATGAGTTTAGTTTCTCTTACTATAAGCAAGGCAGAAGCAAGCAAACACAACCGCTCTCTCTCTCTCTCTTTCTCTCTCTTTCTCTCTCTCTCTCTCTCTCGCTCTGAGAATATCTCTCTCTATCTTTTATTCTTCATTGCTCATACTTTCTCTGTCTCAGTAAGCGAGCACTAGGCTCACAAGTGACGGTGTTGTTCTATATGCGTGTGTGTGCGCGCGTGTGTGTGAGCGTGTGTATGTGATTGCAAGGGAATTACTCGGCTAGCAGAGTAGTAAGAGAAAACAAGAAGGAAAAGAGAAAAGAGTAGCTAACAAGCTTCAGGAGAAAATTCTCTCTCTCCCTCTCTCTCCCTCTCTCTGTGTTTGTTTCACTCTCTCTCTCTCTCTCTCTCTCTCTCTCTCTTTCTCTTACACACACATGCGCACACACGCGCGCATGCATAGATACAAATAAACACATCGTATCTCTGTTTGTCTCTCTCTATCTTTCGTTAGCTTCTCTCTTGTCACCGTCTCTCTTTCTGCATCTTCCTCTGCCGTACTGCGTGGCGTAGCCATCGAAACCACCCATCAACACGACGGCCACCGTTGCCCGCTCCCGCCACCACCACCACCAGCAGCAGCACGACGACATCTGCTGGGGAAAAAAGCCGAAGAACACTACAAGAGGAAGAGAGAAACGAAACGTCCTTTTTTCGCTTTCGTCCAACGGGGGAACTTTTTTTTCTTTCTTTTTGAGAATATAAGAAGAAAAAAGAGAAGAAAAGGTTTTAAGAAACAGAATCAGAAGAGAAAAAAGAAAAAAAATATCTTTTTTTTTTTTTCTTTGAAAAAAAAAAAAAACGGACAAAAATTCCAAACGTAGCATTTTTATCAAAACCCTTAAATTAATATCTCCCATCTGGATTTCTCTCTTTCTCTCTCTTCAGAGAAAAAAAAAAAGCCGTGCGTTGAGAAGGTCCACTGGAAAACAAACCCCTTCGCACCGATCATACGCCGTGTCTTCAATAATTTCGCTTTTTTTCTTCGGGGTAAAAAAAGAAAAACAAACGAAAAGCCCAAAAAAAGTAACTCTTAAAAATTAAGCCGAAGACAAGCACATAGACAAGAAAAAAAAATTAACGAAAGAAACTCCATCAAGAAGATATAAAAAGGGAACACGTATGTAATTTTAAAGAATTAACAGTATCCCTTTGACCCTTACGTATACCGACACACCGATCCATCTATCTAATATATATATATATATATATATATATACACATACATATATATATACAGAAATATATAATCTAAGATCTATATTGGCATAATATAGATATCTGAGTGCACATTTTATTTGTAAACGAGTTTTTGATCAAGGAAAGGTGTTACAAACGCTGGTAATATGTCACGGAAACCGGTTGAAGACTTTTATTTGAAAAAGATAACATTACTTTGCGCACTGATTTTATGCTGGTGGGCATTGCCAGGTAAGTAAAATAAACATATATCTATATATATATATATATATATATATATATATATATATATATATATATATATATATCCTTACTTTGCATTGTTTTAGTTTTGATGCTTAAGATGCTCGCAAATGTTTACACGGCTAGTTCACACACGCACGCACACACATAAACACACGCACGTACACGCATACGCGAATACATTCATACATATACACACACACACACATATATATATATATATATATATATATATATAATGCATATACTTGTGGATGTACATGCCCACACATCCGTTGATGAAGTGTGGCGTGGACGCACAAAAAACACGAGGAAAGCAAAGTAACGTGGGCTGCTGCACAGTTTTGCTTGCCGTTTGCAAACGGCTGAAAACGAACCATATTTTTATCAAAAAGTCTCTTAAAAAATACCATTTTGTTGAAAAAAATCTGTTTGAGAAAAACAAAAAACTATTTTGTTTAGTTCTTTGTTCTGTGTATTTATCGGTCTGTCAGTCCCTGCCTTTACTCTCTTGTTTGTTTTGTGTATAGTTCACTTGTCATCTATTCTAATCTATCTATCTATCTATCTATCTATCTATCTATCTATCTATCTATCTATCTATCTATCTCCTTGATTCCTTCTTTCCTTCCAGTTTATTAATGCACCATTTTTCTTCCTACCCATCTTTCAACAGTTTCTATCTTTCCCTATTTCTTCTTTTTAGATATTTCTTTCTTTCTTTCTTTCTTTCTTTCTTTCTTTCTTTCTTTCTTTCGTATTCTTACTTACTATTCGTTTGTTTTGATTTTCTTTTCTTTTCTTTCTTTCACGATCTTTCCTTTGTATACATTCCTTCTGTCTATTCTCTTCTTCTTCTCTTGCTTACGTGCAATGTTTAATCTATTTACCGTATTTCCTTTAAACGTTCTTTCTTTCGCTCTTTCTTTCTTTCGTTCTTTCTTTTTCTTGTTTTTTTTTCTTCTTTCTTCTCTTCAACATCTCACTATTCTTTCTTTCAACTTCGTAGCGCTCTGTTGTCAGGCACCATTTCAACTTTACACGAGACACGCATGCGCACCCACACGCAAAGAAAAGGACTTGGCGAAAATCCGTAACGCTATTATCATTATTGTTACCTCAATCCATTTACTCGCTTACGCCGTATCAAACACTTTGGTGCATTCTCGCGCATTAAACTAAATGCATATCTATCGACACAGATACATGACATACGTTTATAAACAAATCAATGCCCACACATAAACACGCACACATGTGCGCGCATAAACGCACACACACACACACGTTTTGATGGACGTCTATCATAGACTGATGCATGAAAAGCTAATCTCGATTGATCATCGCCTGTGTAGAGATCGACCTTTTACATGATGCTCCTCTGTTATGTCCTTGTGCCAAACTTGAATAATTCTATCAAATGTCTTGCATATATGGTGTAATTGTGTGAACTTGTCTCATATAGCAATGATTTTGCCCCGTGACTAATTTGAATTTCAGCCTTTGAGTGGGCATCTAGTTTATGTAGGTGGCGTTCACATGCCGCAACCTGTGGAGCCATTCTGACCATGTGCTGGCTTGTATACACAGAACACATACACATGTAAACACAAACACAAACACATATATACACACACACACATATATGCATAAATATATATGTGTGTGTGTTTGTGTGTGTGCATTTGTGTGGGTGTGTGTGTCTGTTGAAGATTTGCTATATTTACATAAATAATGAGTGTTCTTCCACTGATAGCAATAGGTGTTCGAATCTTAGAATGTTGCAGACATGCATTTCCCCATATTCTTATACACTGATAAGTCATTTTTGTGTACTTGTAAAATATGCGTTTTTTGTCAATGATTGTACATATACGCCTAAATATTAGTGCTTGTCAAGCTGTCTCGTCTCAGAAATCATTGGTGATGAGTTCGATTATCCTTTAAAGTATCTACAAGGCAACCCTATTATCTATCTATCTATCTATCTATCTATCTATAATATAATTATTATTATGAAACAAAAACTCACATATTTATGCTGTATTTCATAAAAGTTAAGGCAAGCAAAATATTTCTCTTTCTCACCATCTATTATAGAAGGATCAGGATCTATCTATCTATCTATCTATCTATCTATCTATCTATCTATCTATCTATCTATCCTGAAGGTAAATAACTGGAGTTACGTTTCATGAAGGCAAGAGTTAGCGATGTTGATGCTAGCGAGTTAATCTCACAAGAAAAAGTAATAAGATCGATTCACGCTGAAGGATGTACAGTCTTAATTTTGTGTTCGAATAAACTCAATAATGTGTGTGTATGTATGTGTTTATTTATCATGTTGCTGTTAATAGAAATATAAACAAATTCACATGCGCGTGAATCTAAATCGATGTGCAGTCTGCAAAAAGCTAGGAACAAATGAGGCTTTTAACTTAATTGAATTAGTTTTAAAAATAAGTTCAATGTAAATCCAATATTTGAATCATTTATTATCTGACTAAATTAAGATTCACTAGTCTATTCCTATTTCATTGTATTTTTTCATGTAATTTT